GTGTCATTCATTTTCTTCATTCTCTCAACATTTCATTTCTCAACACAAGTTTTTAAGTTTGGCTGTTGGCCTCTTAGTGTTTGATGGAGTGCCATGCCCTCTGACCTCTAGCTGTGTGTTTATGAACTTCTTGCACCTGCTTTTGCTTGACAAGTAACAGCTCCATAGACATTCACTCACTCGCTCACTTAATCATACACACTCGCGCCTGGTTGTGTTGTGCACAAACGCACCTTACACACCAAAGACACACAGAATACCATTGTTCAGGCTGACAAACTTACCACCCCTTGTGCTTTTACTTTTTCTGTACACCCCACATTTTTATAGTCTAACAGCTGGACAAAACTTTCTCAAGACCCCCACCCCCCACCCCCCACCCATTGTGCAACCACCACTATCTTAGCAGGTGCAACATGCCCTTTAGGACATCTACATGGGCAAAGGGAATATGTTAGTGATACCCCTGGTGCTGTTTATCAAAGAACAGAGTGGAAGTAACGGCCCCTGTGATGTTCCAGATTGGCTTGCACTTATAACACCTCCATCTTTTCCATACTCTGGGGAACAATCAGTGTATGTGCAGGGCCCACTCATCATTTTTGCTCTCATTTTTCCTTCAATGCTGTTGTGAAAAAGGCCAACTGGTTGCTAGATCTCAATATTTGTTCTAAATAATATTCTCGTCATTTATGCTAGACAGGTCATGTCTTTTAGGTTCACTGAGAAACACTTAATAATGTAGCCAAATGGCTGTTGTAGAACTTTTATGAAAAATCTCTGTGGTTTTATTGTTTCCAGGGGAGAAGAGAGGGATTTAACGTTGAACGCAAGCATATCTCCTATCTTTCCCTCTGGTCCTGGATGACAGAACATAACTCAGATATAAAAGATTAATGGAAAATTCATATTTTTAAAACCCTGACAGTATTTGCTTTTATAAGGAATTTTATTTGACCAACAAATATGACAARTACAAACACCTAAATCATTTTACACATGCATTGGTTTATTAAAGCATAGATGATTGATTTCACATTAATTCAGATTAATTTATTAATGTCATATGCACAGAAGTTAAAGGGTTTAGAACATACAATGGATTATCTTTGTTCTTCTCAACACACAGCAATACAATTTTAAAAAACAAGAAAGTAGGTAAGAAATGCAAAATTCCTAAAACAAGCACCACAGCAACAAAGGATTTAAGTGAGACAAGCAACAAGTGTTGTGTGCCTGGTGCAAAAATAAAGTAAGAGCCAGATAGAAAAATTGCACTGCACATTGCAGTTGAATGAGTTGTAAGGGTAGGAATGTGTAGTAAATGGTGAATGGCTTCTGGATTAAACAATCAGAGATTCTGTTTTCACCCTTTTAACATGTGTCCATTTGATGTCAAGGAGGGCATATCAATCCTCCCTTCTCCTCCTTTGATGATCTTCTCCTTGTTCTTAGTGATGTTTAGGAAGGCCTTTTTCTCTTCACACAAACTCTGCCACCTGTTGTTTTTATGGTGTCTTCTCTCCTGTAATCACTCTGTGGTGGCATCAGCAAACCTAATGCAGCTGGTGTATTTTTGGAAACTACACAATTGTAGTTAAACAGAGTACAGCAGCAAACTCGACACATCCCTGGGGGATGGGTTTCCTACACAGACTCTCTTGATCACTGATGTTCACTGTCCAATTCTGGGGTCTGGTTGTTAGAAAGTCCAGCACCCAGTTGCAGTTGGATGGTGCTAGACCCAGGGCAATGAGCTTCTCATAGATTTTGTGAAGTGGAGAGGGATGATGGTGGTGGCGTTGAAGCAGGTGGGCACAGAGGACTGACTGAGAGACAGCGACTGTTGAGAGCCTCAAAGCAAGAGTAATATTAATTCTTGTTGTCTGGTATTGTTGCCTGGTCAGCTGTGGGCTCAAAAGTCCTCTACTGTCGGTGTGTCATATGTCGGAGACCCTGATACATGGATCAGGATGTTGTAGKACACCTCCAGATGCCTGTTGTATTATTTCTTGGTCGCTTTGATGGATCTGAGGACATATGACCTTTTTGCATGCTTCTGCTTAACAGGAGGAAAATGCAGCATTGCAAGCATTCAGCATAGACCGTACCATAGTTAGTCCAGGTTTTCTTTCATTGGGGTAGGTTTCAAAGTGATTTGTGGGAATGTCATCAGTGCAGGTGCTGATAGATATATCCAGTGACAGCTACAGCATACAGTACTTCTCTAGATCTATATTAGAGTCCTTCATCAAAGCAGCAGCTCTAAACACACCCCAGTCAATATTTTCAATTCTGAAGCCTCGTTTCAAATGCTTCCTTCTACACTTCAACAGTTCTACTTATTGAGGGGGCTTACTTGAGGCACTGTCTGTATACAGAATAGGACTGACATATGTAGTTGGACTGACCAAAGTGGGGTTGTGTTACAGCCTTGTAGGCATTGATATTGTTGTGTACTTGGTCCAAAGTATTATTATTCCTTCTAGCAAAGTCAATGTGCCAGTGGTATTTTTGGGAGGATTGTTTGTTGATATCATCTCRTACTGAAAATGCAAAAATGGAACAAACTTTTAAATAGACATTTTATGTAAAGTCCTAATCTTCTAATTTATTTTTTACTTTTATCATTTTATGTGTATGTTCTGTGTCAGCATTTAAGATGTATAAGTGATTGTAGAAGTGGTCCATGCTGTACTGTCTTGAACGTTGAAGCTGGTTCTGATTAATATACACTATTACACATGGAATTCTTTTAACTTTAATAAAACGTTCAAGCATAGAAATTGATCTACCACCTGCCTCTACCATAAAAACAGAGGAAGCTGTTGGAGAAGTCAGCATCCAGAGCCACAGAGAGACATTCAGTGCTGTTTGACCTGCAGGTATATTGTGTGGCAGAGAGACTGCAGGAGGGTTATTAACCTTACCATCTTCCATCTGTGCTTGCAGAGGGCCTCTCAGACAGCAGGTGAAGAGGTTGATTGGTAATTTGTCTCAAAGAGAGGGAGAAGGGAAGTTGGTGGTTAGGGATTTTAGCAATTTCCAGTAATTCGCTTGCTCAAGTGTGGTATTTATGTGACTACTCAAATCCTGCCTTTATCCGCACACTCTCAGGTTAACAATAAAAACGCATTTGTGTTAAAAATAAAATCTACCCAAAACTCTAACAGTAAGTTTCACCGGATGTTTACGAGAGCTTTTTGTAGGATTTAGAGATGAATAGGTTAGGGTTGTACATTAGTTTCCTGTAACACTAAAACACACACACACACACACACACA